ACAAGAACTAACTTGCAATCTGCACAGTGGAAGTGATAAGCGTGATAGAAATCGTTGTTGCTGCGAAGAAGATCGTCGGGTTCAACCAGTTGCCGACCTGAAGGGCAATATAGGAGGACGCAGCAGTTTATGATGCTTCACGAACTGCTGAATGCAGCAGACCTAGAGATTCGAGAGCCACCCTGGGGGAATCTCCGGAAACTTCAGAAAAAATGTAGGGCCACGCAGGGTATGAAAGATCTAAAAGATGCAAGGTGGTGTATTGGCGACAGTGCAACCAATCGGAACGTGCCATTCTGATCAGAGCTTAGAGGGCCCCAGGACACGTTCTAGCGCTAGGGTAAACTTTTGCTAGGTACAAACTATTCACCCCGGATTTTCTCTTCCACCACCACCATCTTCCACAACTAAACGGATTACCCCTAACCCTCCCAAGATTGTGACTCCGAGCCCACGAAAGGTAGGTAGACACCTCCAATAAAATAAATACTTCGGCTTTGGGCTTTCATGCCGTTACCTCCCTACTTTACAACATTCTGACGCGAAACTAGTACAAGGTTATCCATTGTCTTCCACACTACCTTTTCCTGACCGGGGCCTTCTCCGTGCTAGTTTCACCCCAAATCGAAGGTGAAAAATTGCGGGTCTTTCGAGGAAGGACCCATAGTACCTTGCATAGGGAGCTTTAGCAGGCAGCGCTTTTCGACAGAATGTGCTTCTTCGCGGAACAGCATGCATGTTACGGCAACCCAGTAACTTTGGAAAAATGAGCAAGTTTAAAGGTAAGTAGATACTTACACTTCATACAGATGTAACGCGGCACCTTCGGTGATTTTTCCTTGCAATTATAGCAGACCATTCTGAAAAGAATTTCGGTAAATTCTCGTGTCGACTGTAACGCTACAAAATCTTACATAACTCTTCTTCTGTTTCACGGAACATTCACTGGCTTCAACGCTGCGCCATGAGTTGGTCTTCAGCTGCTGTAACGTGCCACTTTTTCAGCTCAAAAATGCACGGGTGCAGGGCTATACGGTTGCCCGCGCTGTCCTCAAGGTGCAGCACTTACCACCGATACCAATGTCCCGCAGCGAAATACTCTCTCGAAAAGAGAGAGAGCGCAGACACCTTTGGAGATGACTAGGCTCCTGGCTGGCCGCGCGGCAACGCGAGCAGGAGTATAGAGACGACATCCAGGCATCACTACCCTCCAACCCCGTTCCCGTGCATTTTTGAATGGTGAAAGTGGCACGCTAGTGCAGCTGCGGACCTATTCTCCCCACATGCCGCAAGGACTAGGATGAGGACGAGGAAATTTGTGCAGCGCTAACAGATTTGTGGGGATACCTTACATCGCCTCTGTGTCTTTTCCTCGGCCAAAGCGCTTCCGCGAAGACTGTCACATAGCGTAGTGACCTTCCGCTCTGCAGGAGAAACCTGTGAAGACTCTGGTCTTCCGCTCCCCAAGCACAGCGGGGGAAGGAGACGCAGAGGCGCAAGGAGTGGTACCACTCTTCCCAAATACGTCAGCGCTTACTTATGTTCTTGCTAACTCCCTACAACTGAACTTACTTTCCATCAACGCACCACGCACCGTCATCCAAACTACCGTCGCAACTTCCACATCTAAAGCAGTCCGGGTGGAACGAGTAATTCGCTGACTTCATGACCTTCCCAACGATGAAGGAGTCTGAATTGACATTGGAACTTGAAGATTTTATCCATTGAATCTCATTACTTTTGTTTAATAGTGGTGCCAATTTCTTTCCAGCTTGTCATTCGGACCTTTCGAGCCTCAATCGGGGAAATTGCCTCAAGAGCATACCCTCCTACGTGAACCGTCTTGGTAACTGCAAGCTGAAGCCATTCGCGGTAGGAGTCAATTAAGTCAGCTTATGGACTTCACAAATCGTGAGAAGCCAGACCCCCAAGTTGAATACCACTAAGAGGTTCAGGAAACCTGCGATCAATACCAGCTACATAAGAAACTGAAAATGCAAGCGAAATAGTAGGGCGTCAATAATG